CCGCCCTGTTTTTTATTCAGGCGTCTGCTGGGGCGGGTGCTGGTTTAACTTGGGTGGAAAGCGGGGCTTTGAGACACCCCGTTAAGAACGGGGTGGAGCGATCTCTTCCCCCTCTCCTCCCCTTCTCCGCCCCCTCTCCTCAGAAAAAAAGAAAAAAAAAAAGAATGGGTGGAGCTAGGGCCACGGCCGTCGCGAAGGGTGGGGCTTACCGGAGCCATTGTGAGGGGCGGGGCTAAGCGCACCTTGAGAAGAGGGCGGGGGTTCCGATTGGAGAAAGAGGCGGGGCCTCTGGGGAAATCATCGGGGAGGGGCGGGGCTTAGAGGGACAATGGAGGTCGCTGCAAAGTTTTCAAAGTGGGAAGGTTGGGATGTGAATGGATAATATTGATGAAGTTGGGGAGGGGCACAGGGGGAATTCCCCTGGGAATTGATTTGGGATGGAACCTAGGGAGGGGGTGAGGCCCTAAAGGAAATGATTGAGAAGGAGGAATGTGACTGGAAGAAAATTCCCCTGGGACTGAGTTCTTTTAAGGTGGAATATTATGGTGTGGGTGGGAGGGGCTAAAGCAGTGGTTCTCAACCTTCCTAATGCCTCGACCCTTTAATACAGTTCCTCATGTTGTGGTGACCCCCAATTTCATTGTTACAGATTGAACATAATTAAAACATAGTGATTAATCACAAAACAATATGTAATGTGTTTTCCCATGGTCTTAGGCGACCCCTGTGAAGGGGTGGCGACCCACAGGTTGATAACCGCTGCACCATGCCCCAACCCATCACATCAGCCAATCATAAACCAGACTCCATGGTTTCTGCCAAATTACTCACAGGAAGGTGGCCTAGAACCCAAGAAGCTAAGCCACGCCCCTGCCCAGACCTCGACAGCTAATGAGGACCAAGCCCTACTTTAACTGTGCCCTAGAGTGCTAATCTTCTGAAGGAAATTCCCCTGGGAAACCATTAGGTTGCTGTATGGAAGGATTGGGTTTTGGGATTTTGAAGTCAGGTATAAAGGGAGTTCCCGCCCGGCTGGTGTAGCCCAGTGGTTGAGCCTCGACCTATGAACCACTTCAGGGCACATGCCCGGGTTGCGGGTTCCATCCCCAGTGGGGGGCGTGCAAGAGGCAGCCGATCAATGATCCTCTTCCATCATTGATGTTTCTGTCTCTCTCACCCTCTCCCGAACTCTCTGGAATCAATAAAAATATATATATTTTTAAAAGAATTCCCTTGGGAGTGGGTAGGGCTCAGAGATTTGGGGAAGGGGCAGATTTAGGATTCTGAGAGGGCGATGTGTAGCCCCAATCCCAGTTGGAAGCGGGAGGGAGGACCCTGGGGCCATGGGGATGTGGCTTGGTTTCTGTACGAGTGAGGCTGGCCTGTGACCGCACCCACTTTTGTCTCACACACGTAGGTCCTCCACTTTCACCTTGGTGCCTGTCTTCGCCCAGCTGAGCAACCTCCAGAGCCGCCTCCCAGCTGTTGGTGCAGCCTCCTTCATTGCCACCCGTGCCCAGCGCCTGTGCTGCAGCCATGTCACTCCTGGCGACCCTGGGGCTGGAGCTGGACAGGGCCCTGCTCCCAGCTAGCGGGCTGGGCTGGCTCGTCGACTATGGGAAACTCCCCCTGGCCCCTGCCCCCCTGGGCCCCTATGAGGTCCTTGGGGGAGCCCTGGAGGGCGGGCTTCCAGGGGGGGGAGAGCCCCTGACAGGTAAGGGCAGGTGGGGAATGGAGGTGGGGTGAGCCGGGACTTGGGGGGCAGGGTAGAAGGAGGAAGAATCCATTTATTTATGAATTGGATAAGTCATTATTGAGTGCCTGTACTATGTCAGGCACTGTTTTAAGTGCTGGGGATATAACTGGAAATAAGACTGACATGATCCCTGCCTTTTTAGAGCTCACACTCTAGTGGGGAGACAGACCAGAGGAATAAAATGAGGAGGTTGTGGGATCAGTGGGAAACGCTTAATAGTGAGCTAAAAAACAATGACACTGGGAACCTAGTTTAGAGTGGGTAGCCAGGAAACCCTGGCCAAGTAGGTACCGTTTTGGCTGAGGCCTAAAGGATGGGAAGGAATGAGCCATGATAAGACCCAAGGGAAGAGCTTTTCAGGTGGAGAGAACAGCATATGCGGAGGCCCTGAGGCAGGAATTACTTTATTCATTCGTGTGCCCCAAATGCGTGGAACATAGTGGGTCTTCAGTAATGAATGGATTAAAGATGAAACCGGTATGCAGGATCTAGTTTGCTTTTTAAGATAAACTACAGAGTACATCGGAGAAACCACAGATGTAGGTTAATCAGTAGAGAGGATGTTGGAATGGTTGCAGAATGGCTGGTTGACTCGTTTGTTGTTCGGATCATTGGTTGGTTGACCGGTTCATTAATTGGTTGATTGAAAGAGTTGATTGATTGACTGATCACTTCGTTGATTGGTTGGTCAGTTAGTTCATTGACCAGTCAGACTGATTGGCTCGTTGGAGGATTTACCCAATGGAGGAGATGAATGAAGCAGGGATGAGTGAGCCCCCAGTTGGGTGGAAAACCAGGAACTCACGGAACTTGTCCTTCTCCACTCCTCCAGGCGATGGCTTCTCAGACTGGATGACGGAGCGGGTTGACTTTACAGCTCTCCTCCCTTTGGAGCCCCCCTTACCCTCAGGTGCCCTCCCCCCACCTTCCCCATCCCCCCCTGACCTGGAAGCCATGGCCTCCCTCCTCAAGAAGGAGCTGGAGCAGATGGAAGACTTCTTCCTTGATGGCCCACTTCTCCCGCCACCCTCCCCGCCACCACAGCCGCTGCCGCTGACACCACCGCCACCACCACCACCACCGCCACCAGCACCCTCCCTTCCTCTCCCCCTGCCCACCTTCGACCTCCCCCAGCCCCCTGCCCTGGATACCCTCGACCTGCTGGTCATGTACTGCCGCAACGAGGCTGGGCAGGGGGATGCGGGGTTGGCTCCCCTCCCCCCAGCACAGCAGCCCCCTCCTCCACCTCCACCCTCTCGCCCGGCCCCCTACCCCAATCCTGCCACCACCCGAGGGGACCGCAAGCAAAAGAAGAGAGACCAGAACAAGTCAGCGGCTCTGAGGTACCGCCAGAGGAAGCGGGCAGAGGGGGAGGCCCTGGAGGGGGAGTGCCAAGGGCTGGAGGCACGGAACCGCGAGCTGAGGGAGAGGGCTGAGTCGGTGGAGCGGGAGATCCAGTACGTCAAGGACCTGCTCATCGAGGTGTACAAGGCTCGAAGCCAGAGGACCCACAGCTGCTAGATGGGCAGGGCTTGGGGCTATAGGGGGCGCTGGTCTTCATCTCTGTTTCTGGGGCTGAGGTGGGAGGGTCCCTCTGTCATCCCTCCGCCTCTAGCCTCTTTCCATCCCCCCATCTCTCTCCTTTTCTCCTTGTGTCCTTGTCCATTTCTGATTTTGCTCCCTTCTTCCCTCCCCAGAATCATGACACGTCTGGCCTTAGTCAATACCAACACTTCTCAGGTGACAGCTGAGGGACTGGGGCCCCAGGGAGCTCAGGGTCTGTCCAGCAGGGCAGTGAGGCCGGGAAGCTGTGCAGAGTGAGGGCAGATGAAGACGGGAGAGCCCTCTGGGGAAAAGTCAGGGAGGGTTTTAAGATCGACACCCACATTATTAAGCAAAAAAAGCAAGCCAGGTGACCCTGGGAAATACATTGGTGCCGGGAGCCCGTTCACAGAGCCAGTGGCTGTGGGGGCAGATGGGGAGGCCGGTATGGCCATAGTTGGTGACTGGGTGTTCATTTAGCTCTGGGAGGAAAGCAGTGTTTTGTGAAATTGTTGGGGCGGGGCTGTGTGTAGGTGAGGGAGGGCAGGGAGTGATCCTTTGGCGGCGGGTGGGGTGGGGGTTGTGGTGGAAATAAAATGAAGAATTTCTTCCAGTCTGTGTGTCTGGTCTTTGAGAGAAGTTGGAGAGAGGGCAGTCTTAGGCCATAGACGGGAATGATGATAATAGAAGTAACAGCCCTGGCCCGGTAGCTCAGTTGGGTAGTGTTATCCGATACCCCAAGGTTTCAGTTAGTTCCCTGGTCAGGATACACACAAGAATCAACCATTGAATGCATAAGTAAGTGGAGCAACAAATTGATGTTTCTCTCTTTAAAAAAAATCAAATAAAAATGTACAAAAAGAGAGCTCTGGCCTGTGTTTCTCAGTGGTTAGAGCAACCATCCACGCACCAAAGGGTTGAGGGTTCGATTCCCGATTCCCAGTCCAGGCTGCATGCATGGGTTACAGGTTCGATCCCTGACCCCAGTCGCACATTCAGGAGGCATCCAATCGATGTGTCTCTCACATCTATGTTTCTCTTTCTCTCCCTCTCCCTCTCTCTAAAATCATCCTCAGGTGAGGATTAACAAACAAACAAAAAAAGAAATAGCATAATACTTATGGTCAGGACCACACACTTGTTACACGGCCAAGGCCATGACGGGGCTGACTGAACCGATAATCATACAACAGCCCTAGCCAGTTTGGCTCAGTGGATAGAGCGTTGGCCTGCGGACTGAAAGGTCCCGGGTTCGATTCCGGTCAAGGGCACATGCCTGGGTTGCGGGCTGGATCCCCAGTAGGGGGTGTGCAGGAGGCAGCCGATCAATGATTCTCTTATTGATGTTTCTATCTCTCTCCCTCTCTGAAATCAATAAAAATATATTTTAAAAAAATGATTCAACACCCCTTTTAGATTCAGACCACTAATTACTTGGCAAAACAATGGATTGCCAAAGGTGCTGGCTCCCCATGGTTCTTGTCACACCAAAAACGGTGACACCAAAACAGGGCAGGACGGCTGCAACCGGAGTTGTGGGGCGCCCCATGCGGAGGAACCCCCTGTCTGGTTAAAGCTTCCCAGGTCGTTGGGAGGTAAGTGGGAGATGGGCTGGCAGCCGTGGTGGGCCTGTTGCCCTACAGCTACTGAGGGTTTACCATGTCCCAAGAGCTATTTTAAGCACCTAGCACGCATTATCTCAGTTCACACAGAAGGAAGCTATTGTTAGCTTTAGATGAAGAGACACTGTTAAAGTGAACAATGCAGTGGCATTGAGTGCATTTGCAATGTTGTGCAACATCACCTCTCTCTAGTTCCAGAACGTTTCAACCCCCCTCCCCCCAAATAAACCCCTGCCCATTCAGCAGTTACTTCCCATCGCCCCTCCCCAATTAGCTGTTGGTTGACACTTGCAATCCCATGAACTGGGGGAAATGAGTGTGACTCTTGGTCAGCCCTGATCCTTTAGCCTTTGGGGTCTGTCCTGGGTTGGTGGCCCTCAGAAGATCTGTCCACAATCCTAACTCCCAGAATCTATGAATGTGGCCCTATTTGGAAAAAGCCAGAGAAGAGCTCTAAATTCAATGACAAGGGTCCTTATAAGAGACAGAGAGCCCTAACTGGTTTGGCTCACTGGATAGAGCGTTGGCCTGCGGACTGAAAGGTCCCAGGTTCGATTCCGGTCAAGGGCATGTACCTTGGTTGTGGGCACATCCCCAGTAGGGTGTGTGCAGGAGGCAGCTGATTGATGTTTCTCTCTCATCGATGTTTCTAACTCTATCCCTCTCCCTTCCTCTCTGTAAAAAAAATCAATAAAATATATTTTTTAAAAAAGAGAGAGACAGAGAAAGAACACAGAAGGGAAGGGCCCCATGAAGGAGGCGGTGGAAATTGGAGTGATGCGGCCACAAGCCCAGGGATGCAGCGACCACCAGGAATGGGAAGAGACCAGGAAGGAGCCCCCTCAAGCAAGCATGTGGCCCGCCTGCGGCGAGTTTGACATGCTTGCCCTAAAGCAGTGATGGCGAACCTTTTGAGCTCGGCGTGTCAGCATTTTGAAAAACCCTAACTTAACTCTGGTGCCGTGTCACATATAGAAATTTTTTGATCTTTGCAACCATAGTAAAACAAAGACTTATATTTTTGATATTTATTTTATATATTTAAATGCCATTTAACAAAGAAAATCAACCAAAAAAATGAGTTCGCGTGTCACCTCTGACACGCGTGTCATAGGTTCGCCATCACTGCCCTAGAGTCTCCAGAGGGAGTGGCCCTGCTGACACCTTGATTTCGGGTTTCTGGCCCCCAGAACTGAGAGAGTAATTGTCATTTTAAGGGACTAACACCCACTTTTAAGTCTGCGGTAATGTTATGGCGCCCACAGGAAGCACAGGGGGCACCAGTTTCTCATGGTGAGGGTCATCTTCCTTTCAGGTAGCCCTTGGTTTTTCATTATCCTTCATCTCCTGAGCAGAATAAAGATTTTTAAAAAAATAGGCTCCGGGTTTTTGTCCACAGTCCCGCCTTCCTGTGGATGGTCACCCTGGACACACGTAGCTGGGAGGACAGGGACTTGAACTTAGTTTGAGCTTAAGCTTAGTTTGAAGCATCCGTGACTGGTGTTGCTACCAGGCAGGAGCAGGTGGACATTTCAAGATCCAAGTTCAAGTTTTCCCGCAGCAGCCAAGGCCCTCGGGGCCAAGGGTCTTCAGTGGTACCTCCCCTTCAGGTTCCGGCATCCCCCTGGACCTGGGCCTGGGCTGTCCTTGCCACCTGCTGCTCAGAAGATGACTTCCATGTTTGGGCTGTCACCTTTACATACATTTAAGTGAGCTGGCTAGTTTGGACAATCTAGACTAGAAACACTTTTTTTTTTTAAAGAAACAGACTCTTCAGACTTTTTAAAAAAATGTATTTTATTGAGTTTTTACAGAAAGGATGGGAGAGGAATAGAGAGTTGGAAACATCGATGAGAGAGAAACATCAATCAGCTGCCTCCTGCAC